AACCCAACAGAGGTCAGAAAAAAATGGTTTTGATGGGATAGCAGATATATAAGCAAAAGTGTTACTGTCAGAGGAAATATGGTACTTACCCTGTAACAAAAGTGTTACTGTCAGGGGAGGTAGGTGAATCTAACATCCTCCACTAAAAGCCTGAGTCAGCAGTGTCGGCACCGAGGTCTCGCACTTGTTTGTGCTGAGGTCTTTTCTGAATTCATTTAACGGTCTCAGGCTAAGCAATTTTAATAAAATAATCCTCCTTCCAACAAATTCTCAGTGTTTTACACATCATTAAACCTATCATGAACGAGGCAAGAATGTAAAGGTCAAATGCTATATGTACTCTCCTAGTCTTTGTGTTAATACCGTTTCTTCCATAGAAAACAAATCCCTTCTGCCATTGCTAACGATCATGCCCAGAAATGTGTTAGGATATCTTCATAATGAATAGCTGAATGAGAAGCTTATTTTCAAGTTCTGTAAAGAAGAATCAATTTCCATTACTGATGTTTTCATTGCTGGGCAGAGGGCTGACTGAAATAAGACTCCTGTGGAGCTTGATCACTTAAAAAGAGGTGATCCTTCCCCTCTTCTCGGCACTGCTGAGGTTGCACCTGCAGTGCTGGGTCCAGTTCTGGGCCCCCCAGTACAAGAGAGACCTGGGCATACTGGTGAGGGTCTAATGCAGGGTCACCAAGATGGTGAGGGCCTGGAGCACCTCCCTGTGAGGAGAGGCTGAGAGCTGGGCCTGCTCAGCCCGGAGAAGAGGAGGCTCAGGGGGGATCTTGTCAATGTCTAAGAACACACAAAGGGAAGGTGCAAGGAATATGGAGCCAGGCTCTTTCCAGTGCTGCCCAGTGCTGGGAAAAGAGGCAAAGGGTACAAACTGGAGCAGAGGAGGTTCCCTCTGAACACCAGGAGCACTTCTGTGCTGTGCGGGTGCCTGAGCATGGCCCAGGCTGCTCACAGAGGCTGTGGAGTCTCCTCCTTGGGGATCTTCAAAAACCCACCTGGTTGTTGTCCTGGACAGCTTGCTCTGGGTGTCCCTGCTTTGGGCCCTGCCAGCCGCAGCCATCCTAGGACTCTGTGATCTGTCTGGAACATTTTTAATATCCGCTTTAATCTTTTCAAGCATGAAAGTCTAGGAAAGAAACGTAGTGTAGAAGAACTGAGATAAAATGCAATGAATTGCGCAGTCACAAATGAGCTAATAGACATTCTAAAATATTTATTTTAATAAAATAAAATTGTTATTCAAAATTAATTAAAAAAATAATAATGGAGCAAAGTCAAGGGCATTAGAAAGCTGGTAATGTCTCCAGATGGATTGCCTGTTCAGTTTTAAGTGCTATGTTATCTCTGGTCCATTTGTACAGATATTTAAGAGAATTCCATTTGTCAGGTGAAAGACCCCAGAGGACAATACACAGACTCTTTCTTACACTTGTCTACTCCTGACAATGTTTCAAGACCAGTGCTTGATCCTGAGGATGTTTCTAATAAAGCAATATAATCCCAGCTAACTGAAAATGTATTAAAGCTGAAGAAAATTCCTGCATGCCAGTGTGCTAGTAACACACAGCGGATGAGCACTGAAGTACAGTACTGGTTATTCACCTGTGGCCTCATTCAAAGAAGGAAGTGTTTGTGGCTTTTGAGGCAGACGTGATGCAGAGTTCCAGACCTCCTCAAAAAATCCTCTGTGATCAATATGGGTCAAGAAGTCATTGTCGAGAATATTCAACCACTATGGTTTCTTAATGAAGTAGGGAAACTCCATGCAATTACACTTCAAAAGTTTATCGATAAAGTCAGCAATAGGATAGATGTTTAACTCTCGGGGCATCACTGTGGAGAAAAGGTGATCTGTGAAAAATCTCAAAAATAATTTTTGAAGTAATTACACTTAAAAAGCAATGCAGGGGCTACTTTATAAAAGTTCAGAGATCTTTGTAAGAATTAATTGAAATAGAACCAGAGCGGGTATGTTTTCTCATAATATTTTTTAAAACAGTACTAGTAGCCTCAGGAACATAAATAGCATTAAACCTACAAAAACTCACACAATTAAAAATTAAAATTGATTTTTGAACTTTGTTTGTTTGAGTACCCCTTCCCTGCTTTCCCCAAGCTCAAAGAGTTCAGGGCATTTATTTATCTATTTTCAGAGAGAACACTTTAAAAATAAAAGCTTATGACTATAGCGTATCATGAGACGACAGTAGTTCAGGCCCTTGGGAAATACTCATTACCATATTACTTGCTAGAATACTTGGCAATGTTAACATGGGAAGAAAGCTGGACGTGTATCTCCTGTGTAGGGTGCAATGAGCTAGTCAGTGATAGCAGTGACCGGTCGCATCCTTGTTCAGTGCAGTGTCAGAACAGAAATAGCAGACCATGGGAAAGGAGGGCATAGCCCCATTTCCAAAGATTTTCTCTTGACAAGCAACAGGGAATAACTACAACCATGCCCGTGGCTATACTAGCTCAGGGGTACATCAAGAACCATCAGTCACCTGATGAAAGGTGATTAGGAAACAGACAAGAGTTTTGTTATAACTCACAAAAACAAAAGGTGAATTAATGCAAAGGTGTTAGAAATGTCATGAAAAGGTAATTTGTGAAGTATGAATTAATGAACTTACAATGGTCATTTAAGTGCCTGGAAAATAAAGGTGAATATCAGAGGCAGGGAGGTAAATTAAACAAACGAAACAAGCTCTTTTGAAAGCCTCAGGAGAAAGACATCTTGGCACAGCCAGTGATGTATGACTGAGAGAGGACTTAAAGCATAGGAGAGAGAAAGAAAGACTTACATAGTCTAACAATTTATGAAAATAGGTATGTCCCAGTCTATGATTTACACTACTCGAGAAGCCAGATAGAAGAGAACCTATAATCATTGCATAAAAGAAGGCAGAAGAAAGATTCAGCATTTAATTCCTCATCCCTCTGCCTGGTGTTATTTAGTTATCCACCAGGGCAGGAAGCTTGGGAACAGTGGGCTCCTCACAGCAGTTTGAACAGACACGAGTGCCGCAGCACTTGCATGCGCAAGTCACAAACTGTTTCCATGAGCTCTGAACCACAAGAAGAGGTCAGGCAAAACTGCATTCTCCTCTGATGAGAGTGAGTGACCAAAGGGATGGTGGGGTGGGATCCAGAAGGTCAGGAGGACAGGGATTCTGGAGCAGGGCTCCTGCTCCCTTCAGGAAAGGTCTAAATGCCTGTTCACAGCTTTGTTTCGGTCTTAGTACATCTGGTCTGCTGGATGAGCTGGTGGAAAAGTAAGAGAAACCAAATTTAGAAACAGACTGTGGTTGTCAGACTATGTAACACCCAGAGAGGAGTTCATGGGAGCGCACTTCAGAGGAGGTCAATCCTTTGAAACAGCCTCTCTGTCTATATTTCTCCTGGTTTGGTCACAAATGCATGTCTTTTGGCTAAGTATAGCTCATCCTCATGTCTTCTCACTGACCTGCTCCCCAACTGGACCTATTAGCCTGGCAAATGAAAAATTCACAGAAAAGAGTTTATAAACATGTTCTTGAATAGCCTTTTGGTACATCTGGGGCAGGAACTGGGTCATCAGCACCCTGGGTCCAGGCTTGCTCTCTCTTTCTTCTGCCCACTGCAGTCAGGATGCTGTTGAAGGCCAGACATGGGAATGGGTGGGATATCTTTGTGAGGCATGGAAAGGGACACGGTGATGATGGCTCCGCTGGGACCAGCTCCAGAGTGAGGGGGTGCAGCTTCAAGGGCACAGGGTTGTGCAGAGCCAAGCTGAGAGGTAACGGAGGGTGACTGAGGCATAGAGAGGGGAAGGATGTGGATACATTAGAGGAAGCTAAAGTGTAAACCTGGTGCCAGCTGGCCTTAAACTGCTTCTGTTTAGGAGGTATAAGAAAAGAGATGGGCATTTCAGCTCAGAGGGTAATAGTGACTATAGGTAAGGGCCAAATTCTTCCCACCTCATTTTGCCCTTCCCTGGGGATTTTTTTTCTCCATCTTGTAACTCTAAGTTGCTCCAGCAAGTAATCCTCCTGCTCTACCTTTCTGCACATAATAAGGCAAGCTATGCTTGTCCCAAGGGCCTCGGTCATGAGGGGTGAAGGTCAGCCCTAGGGTCACCCCTCTTTGCTCTCAGATGCAGAGCTGGAGCTTTGGCTTGCTGGGTCCAATTTCTCGTATTTGTCACCTTCATGCCCTGTGGGTGTTAGGCAACCAGGAGCTTGCATTTGTACCAGTTCTGCATCCTCATGTATTGTGATCTCAGCTGGGTTGCAAGTTGCTCTCTAAGAAGAGTACAGTTTCCCTCTAGCACCCTGCGTAATATTTCAGGCTCAAGGTGCAGCACTGCACCTTTACATCAGCAGAACAGGATGAGGAACATGGAAATCACCTGGACAAATAAGTTCATGACCATGGCTCTCATCATCACCCCTGGTTACAGCCTGGAACACAGATCTCTTTTTTTTTTTTTTTAAATGGGAATCTGGGAGATAAGGGATATGAGAAATACAGTGTTGGTCCCAGAGTTTCTGATCTCTCAGAGGGAATTATGCAGTGATGGGCAGACAGCTGGTGACTCCACTGGGGTGCAGCATGGGAAGCATGTTTGCAGGATGAGAACCACAGGTGGTCAGTTGGTCAGTCTTTTGGGTCAGGAGCAGATTGACCATTTGTATACCCTCATCAGCTCCAGTGGGGCACGGGTCCTTTACAACAGAAGATGAACAGAAATAAATATAGATGATATTACCTGCCATCAAATTGCCAATATAATTAGTGTGGTGCAATCAGGACAGAAGGCACACACTCACACGTTTCTCAAATGTTTTTATGTGAAAAGGATTCAGGATTCTTGCCCCAGTAAAACCCCCTGTTTTGTCCCTGCATTAAATGTTGCTTTGCTTTATAAGAACCTAAGGACTACAATGGCCTTGAAGTTGTATTTGTGGGTTTTATAGTGGTTAGGTAGTTCTCAGAAGAGGATACTGGAAAGTAAGAGACTTGCTGATGTCATTTTTAATTCACCACCAATACCCAAAAAAAAGCTGAGAGAGATGTTGATGGCCCTATATAAGGTGCACCTCACCTCCTTCAGAGCACATCTAGAATCACAGCAAAGGTAAGACTAGCAGCCTTTGTGCCTGTCCTGTTCTGCCCTTGCCTATTCTCCCTGATGCTAACATTACTCTCTCTCATCAGTGCTGACCTCTGTAACTGCAGCCTGCTGGGACGGACGACTTTGGATTGTGAACCATGGCCTCCCTGCAGACCTTGACCAAGAGCTTCTCAGTATGGGTCTTCTTCTGCTGCTGTTGCTGTCTCCCTCTTCTTCTCACCAGCCCTCTGCCTCCAAAAGGGGCAGGGGTGGGTTCTACCAGCCACCAAACCTGCAGGCTCAGGAAGACCAACTTTCAGCAGCACTACATCAGGAATCGCACCTACACCTTGGCTAAAATGGTACAGTAACCCATCTGCCCTTCATGGCAGGATACGGGGACCTTCTCCTCTGCCGGTTCCCCAGCTTCTAGCCTTCAGCGATTCTCTCTCTTTCTCATGCCTTTCCATAGAGCAACGCATACTTGCAGTGAGGTGGTTCTTGACATGTGGAGTAGGTCTGTTGCCCGCTGGTGTTGTGGTCAGGGGAAGATGCTGCCTCTCCTGCAGCCCTGGTGCAGCTCAGCTCCTCTGGAGTGGTTGCTGTGACAATTGTGAGGCATGAGCTTACATTTCTCTTGTTCCCCAGCCCATTCAGAGCTGGGTCTGTTTGGGATTCCAGACTTGGCCAGGCAGCTCCTGGGGTTCTCTGCTTGGATGGGTTTTTGGCTTGCCCTTGCCATGTGTGGGTCCCCCTGTTGTACACCATTGAGAGCTGAAGCACTGTGGGCCACGCTGAGGATGGCCACCCACAGTATCTGCTTTAGTCATTGTAACCACTGTGACATCTAATGTTTAAGAGAGGGACATGAATTCAGATTTCTGCTTATTTATTTTCCAATAACCTTGATTCTTAGACAGTTAAGGGGAGAAACAGCCACAATGTCTGAGCTTATCTACCCTGAACAAGCTATCTATAGTGTCCCATTCCTTGTGTCACCTGGACTGTTATTGATAAAAACTTAGGGTTTACTGTCAACTTATAGGTAAGGCTCCCACCCTCACGTGACTTTTCCTTTTTTCTGTCAGGCCAGGGCCTCAGACCAGGACACTGACAACAGGCTCATTGGGCAGCAGCTCTACATCAACATCAAGGTAAGTCCTACACCGGGAGGATGATTTGGCATCCTTCTGCAGCACTCTTTGACCTCTCACCGTGATTTAACATGACCTTCTACTTGTGTGCATAGGAAAACAACCGCTGTTACATGATGAAGAGAATTGTGGAGATTATAGTGAAAGACGTCCTTCTCACCGAGGCCAGGGAGAAGTACCCATACACTGAGGAGGTGGCGCAGTTCCTGGCATCCCTGACCTCGGAGCTGAGCAGATGTGTAAGTTGTGTGGGGCTTCTTTCCCTTTGCTGACTCATGAATCTCATCACTGCTCCTGAATCTCAGAAAGCTGCACAAACAGCGGCGAAAGACAGTGATATGAAAGGAAACCTCAGATTTAAGATACCAAACTGGAGGTTGATAGGAAGGCATGAAAAAAAAGTAGAAAAAGCAGCAGCATATTGTCACATACAGATGACAATGTCACCTCTGAATTTTAATTTTAATTTTATTTTATTTTTATTATTTTTAATAGAAATTCTCAGGAAACAGAGAGCACATTGAAAAGAACCTGGAAGAGATGAAGAGCAAAATGAAACAGGTACATGTTTTCCCAACATTTAAGTAGAACGGTTCAAAACCCCAATTATTTAGCTGAATTAAGGCTGACCTAGTTATGAAACAAGCTCTGGAGTTTATTTAAGATGTGAAGTTTGCAGGGGCATAAAAGAAGGGATTAATGATGTTTCTACTTCCAGCCCTCCTTCATTGGTGCTATTAACTCTCTGTGTTATAGTAATTTAAAATTGTCCCTCAGAAGTCAGGCTGCAGATCATTGTGTATCCTAGACTGGATTTGAAAGAGCTAATTTATATCTTATGGTATAATGTCTTTAATAGAACTGCTTGTGAGAACAAGGAGAGTAAGTTCCCAAGTCAATTTCTGTGACAAGCTTAATTTAAATTTTAGAAATGGTAAGATGCTAAAACTTGTATTCTGCTCTTTTCTAGTTGGGAGAGAATGGAAAGAATAAAGCCATTGGAGAACTGGATTTACTGTTTGACTACGTAGAAAATGCTTGTACTGATGCCCCAAAGAAGGGAGGGAATAAGAAGAAAAACTGAAAAAATATCAGATCAGTCTTGAAGAGATGTCTCCAAAAAACTCATGCTATTATTCAAATTGATTAACTACTGAGGAAAAAAGTCACATCTGTAGATGCAGTATATGTTTTTTTAACCTGTACTGAGAATAGCCAACTAATTAGGCAGAGACAGGGTGCATACTGCTGTCTTCTTTGCAAATGAAAACTCCAGAACAGTGTGGCTACATTTCAACACAGCACACGAGTTATTTTCAAAGGCATGCTCCTACTCTGCTCATCTGCATCGGAATAAGGCAACTGTTTCTGTATTTAATAGGCTGAGATTTGACACCTGTGTCAGCTTTGGTCAAGGTAGGCAGTGCTCTGTGGCCAGGAAGTTTTGAGTCTTTTATTGGAAATCTCTCTTGTGTATGTTGCCCTCTTCTGACCCTTACCTGAAATGTTGGTATTTTGGACATTCAGAAATTATTTTTTTCACTTGTATTTAATAGTAACTTATTTTAAGGTAATAATTATACATACTTTTATTTATATAAATTGAAACATAGCCAAGAAAATGTATTTATGAAGCTGTACTAGAGGCTTTTACATGAACTATGAAATTAAAACAGCTGTGTAATATTTATATGCAGATGTATTGTTTTATAAATGCCTATTCAGTAATTTATTATAATAAATATTTTGAGTCATCAAATATTGCTATTTTATAAAGCTTTTCTCTTTTACTCAAATGCAAGGGAGGTGACACATGCCATGCATGCAGGGCTGCTGGGCCAGTGGCTATATCCTTGAATCCAGAAAGGATGCAAGCTTAGGAAAGCATGGGGAAATGCTTCTTCACCCTAATGCTGAAAATTCCACTTGTCACAGGCTGGGGCTTAGTGGAGAGCACGTGGATCAGCCTTTCTTGTGGGTGGGTTGGGAAAAATAGCAACACTCCTGAGAGTCACTGGTAAGGTTCATTGGTTCTGCCTCAGCACCTCCCTAGGAAAGATCTGGTCTCGTTGGCAAAAAAAAAATCCCAAACTGTCCCCCACTTCTCAGGTCAGATGAGATGGAAACAGTCAAGCAGTAGCAATTAATTGAAAATTCAAAGCACTGAGTTCTCACTGACCCACAGGCATGCTGAGCCCCAACAGTGCTCTGCAGCATCATGGATTTGAGAGCACTTCATAAGGGAATTGCTTGGTGCCTCCTCTTGACACAAGCTCCTAGACATATAAATGTGAAGTCACTGAAGAACACTTTACACACTTTTTTTCATTATCAGGTTTTTCAGATGATCTGGTTGGACCAGCTGATCTTGGAGGTCTTTTCCAACCTTTATGATTCTGTGATTCTTCTGAGATTCAGCAATGTCCCCTGGGTGGAGACAAAAGAGTTGCTCTGGTACAGCCAAAGTCATTAGTGGCTGGATAAAGGTTGAAGAGGTCAGAAGTATCCAAATAGTCAGAAAATCAGAGTAAATATAATCGTGGATAGTCAGCAACTGGTAAAGACTTATTGAACAAGGCTTTATTGTTTATTCATCCAGTCAGCACTATTCTGTCCACATCTTTAAAAAAAAAGTCATGATGAAGTTCCTCAGAATAAAAGATCCAGTTGAGTTGGCAGTGCAGGTGAAGTCTTGTAAACATGGCATCTCAGGGAAATTAAAATTAAAAAATGATTGCTAAAGAGACATCTAGAGGAATCCCCATGAATAGGTATTGTAAATTGTAAAAATATTTGGGGGAAATGATTTCTGTCTTGATAGTTTCATAATTATATTCAAAGAGGAATCAAAGCTAGTCCAGATCTAGTTAGTTTCAATGCGTCTTACATCAGCTGTTGTAATGAACTGTCATTAAAGCAAGATTAAGCTATGCCATGTCAGTCCTGAATCAGAGTGTTCTCAGGACAAAAAACATCCACCCACACCCAATTTGAAAAAGGTTTATGTTAACCGATATAACACTTTCTTGTGGGAACTCACATACTGAGCTGATATATGATGCATCTGGGTGATAGATGTCCATTGCCTGTCAACCCAGATGCAATCAATGTGGTTTGCTTTGCTCCACACTCTGCTGTGTGTCTCTCAACAAATGAATTACATCCCTGCTCACAGTCAAGGCAGAAGTGACCCAATGGTGACAGCCAGACAGGCTTTGATAACATATGACCGTGTTAGAGATTTAACCTTTTACTATATTGAAGAGGATATTTATTTTCTTACTTATGGGATAAGCAATGACATTATCAAGAGCTGTTGTCCAACAACTTTTCTCTTTGTCTGACATCCTTTCTCTTATCATTCAAACTTGCAACAGCTGTCAGTAAAAGTTAAAGAAAGGAAGTTAAACACCAGCTGGAGAATTCATCTCACTGACCTTTCATAGACAAGCCTATCCCAAAGTTACACTTGGCTCAATTTACATGTAATGAAGGGTAATAGGAATTATTCAGGTGTGATTCATCTGATCTACATTAGAGGTTTATAAAGACTGTGACTCTGAACAGAATCAGAGGGATTTTCTTTAGAAGTACCCGTTTTCTTCCTTGGTTATAGAGGCTAGACCTAGAACCATTTGTGCTGTTCCTCATTGATAGCATCGCTTCTCAAATGGATAATTAATTTATTTCTCTCTTCTACTTCCTCTAGACCCCTTGCACATCATCCTTTTTGAGCTGTCCTACCCTGACACGTCAAATCACTCTCTCAAGCTTTCCACCCTGGGGCAAACCCAAATAAACCATTTGTTCACCAGTGTAAATGATAGTAATTTATGTATCAACTTCCTCAACTTGGAAAACCACCAGATGGAAGACTCTGCCATGGTAACCTAATGAGCTGGAGTCCTGAAAATGCCACACGGCAAATTTTGCAGAATTTCCTACATAGATTTTCTTGCAGGGTATGTGTGGCTTGTGGGTGTGTGAAGGATGCTGAGTAATGGTCAGTTTTGAATAGACAAAGGAAGTAGAAGTTGGAGATTTCCCTTATAACCAAGGAAATGTCTGGGACAAACAATTACTGAAAAAAAAAAAAGAAAATAAAGAAGTAATTTGAGTCAGACAAGCTTGGTTTCATTTCGGTCAATAGTTACAGCTCGGAAAAGGGAAATCGTGCTGAATTATTGGATTTTGGCATTTTCCAAATGAAATATTTCAGTTTTATACTTCAAAATACTGTTTTGGTTTAGAATTTTACCTACATTTTCTCTCAAACGATGAAAAGAGGTACGAAAGCGAAATGAGCTCTTTCATTTTGAGTTTGACAAGTACTTTGGGCTGACCCAAAATGATTTTTTTTTTTTTTGGTTTAATTTTTCGGTCACCAAACAGAAACCCTGCTGTTTGCACAATTCTAATTTCCGTTGCCCTATTTTCCTTTCCTCACCGCTACCCTGCAAGTTATGGACTATTTGTAATTCCCAGAAGTTCTTGACTTAGCGTTATTAGGGAGGACATTTGCTCCACATCCTTTGTCGAGGACACCTCTGTTGTAGAGGCTGGAGGACCTTTTAAAAGGTAAAAAATATAAAAGGACAGATTTACTTTCTGTGGAATTTTCCTCCCCTTCACTTACATTAGGGGACCGGAACAGGCGCTTTTTTGCTACATAGATAATTATAAAACATTTAAGCTAACTCTGAAACTTCATGTAGAGAAGACAGGGGAACCCAAAGCATGAAGAGAAGTTTCCACATCCTGCTGAGTAAGTATTGGTGACAGTTTAAGAAACCTCTGTTAAATATATTATATTGAGTTTTACTCAGTTATGAGATTTACATACTCAGTGTCTGAATATATACTCTTTAAGTGACCTAGAATAAGAAAGCGTTGATATTTCCAGTTTGCTGGTGGAACTATATTTTAGAGGCTGCGAAGAGCTGGAGCTATCCCAATAGTTAACCAGCAGCATGTGACTATATCAGCCTGTGCTTTAAAACACAATCAGCTAAACTCTGCTTTGAAGGAGGTATGGACTGCATTGAATAACCATACATTCCTGATAGGCTGTGCCTTTTCAGTCATAGCAATCATCAGTAGCCAATGGATGTTTATAAAACTGGTGTGATTTGGAGCAGAACTGGCCTGCTAACATGAAGCAGGATGGGTAGAGACATTAAAGTCAACCTCAGGCTTATTACTAATACTACCAGGAAGAAGGTAGAGACCATGGAAAGAAGGAAAACCTATAGTGCAGTCTTGTGGGACTCCAGGGATTTTTGGTGGGCGGTTATCTACGACACGGTGCATAAACCAGCACATGTAGGTAGGAAAGTCATGCAACCTTTCATGGGATCCAGACCAGGATTCAATGTTGTTCAATAATTTGTTAGGAAGTTTTATTTGAATGAGGTGAATGACTAAATATGAACTGTGTTAAGGCTGATGGCACCTCCGGGACCACATATGCTTCTAAACTCATATCCTTTTGTAACAACTTTTTTCTGGGCTTACACATAGACAGACCTTATCAGATGAACTGTATGAATTTCACCACTAGCAAAAGTATTGAATTACCGTGTCAGTGAAATGCTTTATTCTGAAGTATAGAAAATCCCTCTCTCTGCTTAACCATTAAATCCAAATCTCTGGCCAAATTCAGATATTGATTGCTGTCTTTTCGTTTGGAATACACTCATGAATGGTTTGGGAAAGAAAGTATTCCTACAGCTTTCCAACTCTAAGGAGAAATTTAGAAAATTCTCCTGAGAAGTACTGCCCATTTATCTTCAACAAATTAATTCGTAAGACCCAAATGTACATATCTTTTGATTTTGGAAGAGTAAGGCACAACATAAATATTTACAAGATCAGGCCATTTTTCTTCTGTAGGGCTGTATAAAGAGAAATGGCAATAAAACCTTTTTCTGCTTTACTCAGTACAACATACATTGAAAAATTTTGAGAAAAAAACAGAGAGAAAAATGTGTCTTTGACTAACTGACTGAAACGATGGTATGTTCGTTTCTGCAAGAACCATTAAGGCATATCAGTGCAATTTGTAGCACTAGTTTCAAATAACTGAATGTAATATTGTCTTCCAAAAATTGCCAACTTGGACCAATTTAAAGAGTTTTCCAAAAGAGAAGCACTTCCAAACCCAACAGTACATTTAAGAAGTGGTGATGGTATTCTGTTTGGTTGATTCCAGCTGTGAAAGGAATGGGCAGTTTTCTCTGTGGCAGTCTAAAAGTTATGCATTCTTGAAGACTGACTTTCTGATTTGTCTTTTGCATTAGGCCATGATGTGTAAGATCTCCCCAATGGAAAGGTCATCATGTATATTGTCTTGCTCCACAGAATATAGAAATAAACTTCCTATTGACTTCAAGATAAGGCTTGTTGTTTGTATGTGTATCAACTGAATTGTATTACACAGAAAAGGCGAAAGATTTCAGCGCAAGTATTAGATAGACATGAGAAATTGGACTGTGCCAGGGAAAGACTTGTTCCAGAAAGTCCACAATAATGACACTTATTTGGGAAACAAAGGCTCCAAAATAAAGATTACGCACTGTTTGTCATTGCAGAGATCTTTCTTTTGTTTGTTTGTTGGTCTAAAACTATCCAGACTTTGTTTTGGGTTAATACTTGTTATCAAACATGTCTTTAAATTTTCTGGTTTGACCACTTCCTATAGTTCTCCTTTATAATGTAAACTCTGTCAGTCTTGAACAGCAGAAGAAAATTCAGATTTTCTC